TTAATTGACGTAACTGAAAATATGAGGACATATCAAGATGACGGGGGCGACGCTGGGGTTGAGCCCCCCGAGAGAGCAGCAGAGAATGGGTGAAAAGAGAGGGAGAGGGAGAGGAAGAAAGGATCAGAGGGAGAGAGGTTGGCAGCGATGAGCTTCTGGCACCTTCTACATAGAGCTCACCGTACATGGTGCCAAAAAATGGCAGACGAGGCTGCCCCCGTTCCCTCGCCTTTTCTCCGTCTCCCTCTCTCTCGCCCCTCGGCGATCTTGATCATCCCTTTCTCCTCTTTCTAAAGAGGTTTTATCTAATGAGCTCCATGAGAATTCAATCTAACTGCACTAATGCAGAACTTCTACTCCTATAGACTGGAGTTATGGCTCAACTTTCCGCGGCTGTTGCGTTGTATTTGCGTGTGTGTGTGTAATGAGTAGGCCTGTGCCGTTACTGAGCTCGGCATTGTGTTCTCTGACTCGTAACCAGAGTCAGTGTGAGTGGGCCACATTACTGTCCCTCTCTCTCTCTTACTCCCGAGGCACACAAACACATCAGCCTTCTGATAATAATAGGAAATGACATTTTACAATTTATTTCCTTATTTTAATTAAACACTTTCAAAACATTTAGAATATATATATTTTTTTATATTATTATTTTTCAGAGCTAAAATATATATTATGTTCAAATGGTTTTGAAAATGTGTTTGTGTGTGTGTGTGTGTGTGTGTATACAGTATGTGTGTATTATATATATGATTTACTCTGGAAAAAATAATATTCTAAATGTTCTAAACGTGTGTTTAAAATAAGAAAATAAATAGTAAAATAATACTGAATAATTAATAACATAAAGAAATTATTTATATGCATTATATGCAATATAATGATTCAATGTGTTAAACAGCATTAACCTTCATACATTTTTATTAAAACCAAGGTGTTTCCAAGGTATTTCAAGGTGTCCTTGTTACAGTGTAATTATACATTTAAGTACTGAGTAATATTAATGAACTACATGTACTTACAACAGGGTTAGGATTAGGGTTTGGCTTAGGGTTACTTGCACATAATTATGCATAATTTATTGTTATTATAAAAGTAAGGACACCTTAAAATAAAGTGTTGCCAAACATTTTAATGCATGAAAGGACTGCATAAATAAATAAATATGCAAATAAATATTAGATTCTGATTTTGAAAATTTGAATCCGATTCAACAGAAATTAATGGAACTTACTAAAACTCTATTAAAGACCATCTCTGTTATAGATCTCTCATATTTCCATGTTGTGGGGTACGAAAGGACTGATATTTCAGAAAGTTGATAAAAAATATATCATACGCAAAATCATCTCAGATCAATTGTAAATATTCAATAATATATTGTTTAGCACAATGTAGATACACAGATTTTATGTTTGACACTAATACAAAAAAATAAATAAAACACTAAAGAAAGAGCATGCAGCTACCGAGAACAGAAGAGAAAACTCAGAAAACTCTTTCTCTTTTTAACTTTTTCTTCTCTGCCTGTCCCTTATGTGGAGTTAAAAGCAGGTGCGCATTCAGTAGAGCTGATACCGGTTTGTTTGTGTTAACATGTTTCACTTTTACAATCCTTCCTTTGTGCTCTTAAAAAGCCTATAAATGTCTGTGGTGAGTAGGGAGCTGAGAAAGTAAAACCCAGAGTTACACGCAGATCTACGGTTACACTTCACATCTTTCTTGGAATGAATCAAATATAAAGGCTTAAAGATCACTAAAATAGTCAAGAAATGCCAGAAGCTTAATAGCGCTGCTGTGGCATATTTAAGCAATAAACCCAAAGCCCAGGTGAGTCAGAGCAGAGCGCGGTCCTAAATATAGGACAAATGTAGGATTACAGAAAATGATGCGAGGAGATTCTCCACACACACAAAAAAAATATCTGACCTATGACCCAAGGAGGTGAATTTTCCTTCCATTTCAACAGTCTATCAGATTTTCAGAAAGAGCCAGGAAGACAGGAAGAGTGACAAAGAAAGAGAGAGGAGACACTTGGAAGCGTAAAGAGTGATGAAAGAAAGAGAGACGCGTTATGTACACTGGCTCGAAGTGAATGACGACTGCTGAAATAATCTGTTTAACAGCTATTCCAAACATTTCATTTCCAAACAAAACACTCCCACAATGCCGCATCGAGACAGAGGGAAATCACTACTGCATGCTCTTACGCTTGTGCTCATTTCAAAAACGGCTCAAGCCTTAAAGTCCAAGAAAATGGCATATTTTCATAACAATAAATTAAGCACAATTAGAAAATAGTAATAATACTAAATCAAGCATTTTTTTTTACAGATAACAATGTTAATTTATTACTAATCATTTGCTGTTTAATACCGTTTTTTAAATTAAAAATTATCATCTATACTGAATAAATTATTTAGCAGAAAAAATACTAATGTATTAGCTGGATGGATGCTTTTTTAGATTTTTCTTATTTAACAGGCATTTTTATTTCTAAAGAGCTGCAGTCAAAAGCACAAAATGGCAGAAAGCACATTTTTCACACCTCTTCAATGGCTAAATATTACATTTCCTGTGTGGAGTGTTAAAGTAGGGAAAAGTTTAAATTATGTTCTCATAATAATGATATATCAGCAGCACTAACAATAAAGCTCTGGATATAAAATTAATATTCTCTTTACCCAAAAGCCACTTCCATCTATTAGGACGACTTTGCCCCATAATCACCGTTCTTAATGGAAACACCTTTAACACACATTTACCTCCAATACACCTGGATTACTACTTAAGAGTCTTGCATAAATGAATTTCGCACTTCATTCAAAGACAGAAATATAAGTCTAAATTTAGCAAAGTATGGAACATTTTCGAGGAAAATCCCAAAAACCTGTCAAGGGTTCGCGTCTCGGTTCAAACTCTAGCGATCCCTTTCCTAGGCATTTAAAATGGAAAGCATTTAATACGAAAAAGACAAACTCTCCAGCTACCCATGACTGCAGTAAAAAAAATTGGTTTATTTTTTTTTTATTTTTTTTTTAAGTGAACTGTTACATCTCTGTGTTTTAAAATTGCCTGAGCACATACACACTCATATTCACACACACGCGCATCTTCCCGCACCAACGGCGTTGCTATAGTGCCAACTAAAGCAATTAATGTAGTGACTCCCGTAGCTGTCCTTTCTCTTGTTCTCTCTCGCTTTCTTATGGACACAAAAGAGGAATATAGAGTGTGACAACGAAGGCCACATTTAATAGTGATAAACAAAGAGTCTGTGCTGCAAATAAACAATCGCAAGGACAAAAACACAAAGCAAACCAATAAATTAAACAACTGAGCTGTAGAATTCAAGATTTTTGGCACACACAACAAATACCTGACTTGAACTGTCAGGCTATTTCAAATTAGGATAATTGTGGTGTTAGTTAGGAATGCACAACTGAAATCAAGAATAAAAAAATAGCTAAAAAAAATTACTGAATGCCCTTAACCAGAGCAGCACATGGGGACTGTGTGCATCTGAGGTTGAGAAAGGCCCCCTGAGCTCTGGCACAGGATGCCAAGGGCCCCGGGATTGTGCGCGGCTGCCCTGCAGGGTGCCAGTCTCCGGCGAGGCTATTTGGAGCCTGATAAAAGCGGCAGTACACACTGGAATTAGCCTGATAAGGTAAGACAGCAGCAAACATTCTGAACGGGCAGCGCGATGGCCAACCCTGCTGGGCACAGAGTGAACCAGTGCGTGCGCTGACCGAGAGACTGAAAGACAGGCAGGAAACTGTTCAGCTGCTTATATTTTGTTAACGGCTCTTTTTTTGTTTTTAACTGACAATATGGCAATTTTTCCCCCCCATAATTGTGGTTTATTTGCAGTACCACGAAATGAAAATGAATTAGTCACAAAAGCAAACAAGAAAGAAAGCAAGAAAGCAATTTCAGATTTGAAATTCTGTTGGCCTGAGTGTGTTTGGCCAGTCAGATCTTGTGTGCGTCAGAGAGAGTGTTAGCCATGTCAGAAACACTGTTTGGCAGTAAACGTATGAGACTGTGCTAGTAACTTATCCATGAATACACACACACACTCGCTCCAAAAGGATACGACTCTAAAACACACTGCCAATGAGAAAACAAGATGGCACCAAAAAACTGAAAAGGCCAGCCGTCTTGTGTTTTCTTGTGAATACAACCAACATAACATTTATATTAAACACCATCACAAAACAAAAAGAAAGTATCTTATTATAAACAATAAAACATCACAAAAATGATGAATTTACCTCATGAAATACTATGAGCAATGGTCCATAAGGCACAAAATCATTCAGATTTGAATGCAGTTGGACAGGATTTCTTCTATAAAGAGCATGACCAGACAGATTATAAATGAACTACATAAATTTGCATGCTTTTTAAAAATTACTTTCAAATTTTCTGACTTTTTAATGCATAAAAATCACAACTTTAAAACGGCTCTTGTGACTGTACAAGTGTTTCCAAAAAGCACAGAATCATTCTGAGAGTTGAATGCAGATGGATAGGATTTCTTCAATAGAGAGCATAACCAAAGAGATTATAAATTAAATACATAAATTTACATGATTTTTAAAAAGCATGACTTTTTATGCCTGCAAATCACAACTTTAAGTAGTTCTTATTATTGTACAAATGCTTCCAAAAAGCACAAAATCATCCTGAGATTTGAATGCAGTTCGATGAGAGCACAGCCAAATACATTGAAAACTAAATATATACATTTGCCTATATTACTTTGAATGTTTTCAAGCACAACTTTAACTTCTTCCATGACCGTGGGAAACCTGTTTGAGCTGTAATTTCGGCTCTGGCCGCAGAACAGACGCTCAAAGCAAGTGTTCATAAGTGTGCTGGATGTGATGGTGATTATGTGGGTGTCATCTTACCCTGAGTTCTGACCCCTCTCAAATAATCACGTTCAACTATCAGTAGCTGTAGGACAGAGAAAGAGAGTGTAACCCACTGACCTGGCATGTGGATGAAGTAGGCCAGGTACAGGTCCAGCTCCTTGACGGACACTCCGATGTGGTGCGGCTGCACGCACAGGGTGTGGTTCGAGCACTGCGGGGACTTGACCAGTCTCTCTCCATCCGTGCTCTCCAGCGGGCTCCCCTTGAACAAGATCACCATCACCAGGTCCAGGCGCCAGACCTTGTCAGCTTGCCGCAGGCAGTCGATGCGGCGGATCTTGCCCTTTTGGTCGGGGTTGGAGATCACGCAGCACGGCGGCTTCTTCCCCGTGATGGTGAGCACGAAGTCTTCGCGGAACTCCGGCCGGATGTCCTTGCGCAATTTGGCCAGCAGCCGCGACGCCCACTTCTGCTTGATCTCGGGCTTCTCGCCCAGGAGTTCGTCTTTGACGGCACGCTCCTCGTCCTTGGACATGCGCTTCTCGTGCTTTTTGAAGTACTTGCGCTTGCGGGCCTGCAGGTTGAACCAGGTATATGAGAACGCCCGCACATGCGGGAGGAGAGCCTCGATGAAGGGATGGAATTCATCCTGGAGGGATGGAGAGAGGGAGGGAGAGACGGGAAGCAGGGGAGAGGAGAGAAGGGAAGGGGAGAAGACGTTAGAATCTCGGAGCATGATTCGGCAGCGCTTTGTGAAGTAAAGTACGGGAAAAGTGCGAGTGCGCGTTTGCCAGGATGACACACACACACACACACACAAAACATTTGTCATAAGCATCACATAAAAGACAATGCTATGCTAGTTTAGAATTTAGAACCAAAATTCCTAACCAGAGTATATAATAAAACTACAGACATGCTATTATGAAAAACAAAACAAAAACACACTGAAATTTTAAGTAACCTCACTTTTTTCTTCTGCATTGTTTTACACTGACATTTTTGTGTTTCAAAAGATAATTTTCTCAGCTCAAAACAGACAATGATGTTTTTGAGGGACAGACGTAAAGAGTCCACAACAGCTGCTCACTGTCGCTTGTGCCAACCCCTGCTACCGCACGTCCTGATCCAAACTACATCGCCACACGGCAGACACAGAAGCAGCACGCCACAGACAAAACACACAAGACATGCAGCAAAACAACTAAATAAAGCATCTGTAGTTACCATTCTGCACTTTCATCATAAACCCTGTTGGCCGATAAGGAGTGGAAAAACGAGTGAAATGTCTTCTTCACACTCAGCTTGACACTACATGCCCCGATTATTTAGTGCACAATATCAGAGTTTTTAATGTTGTTGCAAAAGTAAAAAAATAAATAAAAAACTGAAAAAAATTCAAAAAGTTAACATTTTGTAAAAATGTCCAGTCGAAGAGGAGAGAAGAAAAGTTATGAAAACCTTGGAGGAGCCAAACAGTGACAGCTCTGGAGATACAAAAACAAGAAATGCAAGAGAGAAATGTTTAACACACAAAACAGGGGAAATGAGAGAGAAAAAAAAAGTTCTGAAAAAAAATGGGTATCTTGCCAGACACCAAAACCAAAAATTAAATATTACATATGAACACAAGAAAGCGGACAATGAAATCGCTCAATCAAAAAGTATTACTCACTGTTAGAGAAAAAAACATACACAAATAAATACACAAATACCGCAACAAAGAGAAAAAATGTTTGGCAAAGCAGTAAGTGGTGTTTGTTCAGATATGCGTGCTCTGCATTCGACACACAGAGAGCGAGAGATAGACAGAGAGAAAGAGAGAGAGAGACAGCGAGGGGGGTAGAGAGGAGCGAATGGAGAGCGAAAAAAAAAAAACGAGAGAACCGAATCAATGTTGGAAGAGCGCGTACGACCGCTGGCAAACCCGATAGAAGCTTATTTTTTTCCCTTTTTCCTCTCCAACTCTATCTCTCTCTTCCTCTCCATGCTCTTTTCCTATCCATTGCCTCAGAGTGTGCCAGCGCGAAGCTGAGCCCACCTATTTGGCACCGGGCGCCCGATCGCTCAGCCAATACGCACGCTTGAAGGGCTGAATGGGAGGGAGGCAGGGACGGAGGGAGGGTGAAAGAGATGGAGCGAGAGAGCGAGGGGGGAGATAGTGTAGGGTTCGGTCAGTGGGTTGGCTCCTTACTTTGCCAAATTAATAAGTTCCTATCTTGTGCAACTGCAAAGTCCAGAGCACATTAATTTTACATGCGCCAATCAGCCGTATTCCATTCCCAGCCCAATTTACCTCCATTTTCCCCCTCTTGTCTTCAAGAACCGAGCTCAGATGCACACACGCACTTTTGCCATTTTCACCAATGCACTTGCCATCACATCCATCGAGCGAGCGCACAGCAGTGTCCCCGTTTGCCCCGTCCCCTCCCTCCATTGAGCGGCGTGTGAACGCGCGGGCCAGAACTCCCAGCAGACACTACAGACTAGCAGCTGCCTTTAGAATCAGCGCACAAACAAAGAGCAAAGAGAAAGACGTAGTCCACAGCAGAACAACATTCTCGCTCTGAACTTTATCTGAGAATGTGACCACGTCAGTTTGGACACAATACATTTTTTTTTTTTTTTTAAAGAACAACAAAAAAGTATTTCACATTAAAATGATTTTATAAGAAAGTATTTTAATAGTTGTTTCCTTAAAAAAAACTAAAATAAAAAACTATTCTCCTTATAATGCTTTTTACAAAACAGCAACGCTATAGCAGGACTCAACAATTAACTTACAACTATTAACTAACTTGTCTTGCCAGTATTTTCAACAGTACACTGACATACTGTGATTTATTAGCTCTTTTGAATTCATTCTAACTGATGCACCCAAGACTAGTGCAAATCAATCTCGCAATTTCAACATCCTCATATGAGTTAGCCAGCTATCATGATCAAATATTTAAATCAGCAGGACTGGCAAAACCCATGTTCAATACATCACTGAAACCCAAATGTTAAAGTTTGCAACGGCACATGTAGCTACATTATCAACGAACACCAGATGTAATGACAACACAGCATTGGTCACAGTTTCATGAACCGGCCTGAAACTCTCTCACACTGGCCCCGAGCCGTAGCACACAAAACATTCAATGCAATCCTGTACCAAACTATATTCCACATATTATAGGAATTCAGTCAATCCCTGTTTGCAATGATCCGTTATGATCCATACACAGAGCCAGGGAAATCGCTAGCTTGAGCAGATTCGTATCAAGTGATTTCATCTGGTTTAATCCCTACAATGAGTTTACGCAACATATGCCGCTCTCGACACCTTAGGGCGACCAGCAGGCCTATCCAAGACCACCGGGTGAAGCAGCCTCATTCTCAAAGCAACCCAGTTGGCGCCTGCTATGTAAATGCAGCGTTTCCTAACAAACAAAGCCGAGTTTCAGGTTGGTGTGTCGTTTTGTTTGTGAATGTTCCACTGGCTTGCAATTCACTTTGCATAATTCCAATCCAAATCAAAGGAAAGTTCTACACAATTCATATCAGTTGACTGTGTACAAAGCAAGGTGTCTTGGTATTTTGTTTTGCCTACATTTTGTACCAATCATTCTGCATGTTGTTACAGTTCGTATCTGATTTGGTTTGACAGACTACATGGATTTTGTGTCTGACACATTTATTTCCATTAAATAATTTCCATGTCTGCAAACAAAGAGTTTGAAAGTGTCTATGTTAAATGACCTGAGGGGGGAAAGTGTCAGTAACAAGTTCATTGTTCTTGCTTGAATTATTGGTTGAATGATTGCAGCAAATCTGACATAATTTTGGATGAAGCGAACTTTATGACAGCATGAACTCTGCGTTGTTATCATGAGATTAAATTAGTATGCAAGCCATAAACGGCATATAAAACAGCGCTTGCTAATGTTCCCCGCAAGCTTGCTGGATCTGTCCTTATTCAAACTCTTTTATACCACAGCCTATCTTATCTTTGTATGACACTCTCCTCTCTAAACAGCGACCTTTGTTTTACGCAAGAAAGAAAGGAGAGCGCTAGAGGAAGATTAAAAAAAAGTTTGAGAAAGAGAGAGACGGGCAAAAAAGTCTCACTCTGCTGCGTATAGCCTGCTGCTTGCTTGTGTGTTTTAGTTTCTGTATAGCAAGGCCTACTTCTTCCAGAGAAAGAGAGAAAAAGGCTGAGATTGTGAAAAGAAAAATCAGCAGCACGCACTCTCACACACTATTATCCAGAATCCGTGCTTAAATGACCTGCTACTAGGCCATATATTACACCACGAATCACCATAAAACCATAAAAGTTCAGTCTTACCACATTTATGAATTTTATCCCATTTCTACTCTGACGTTTTTGGGATTCTTTTGTTTCTGGGGGTTCATCAAATGTCTAACGCTGCCAACAGTAGCCTGGTATTAATCATTTTTAAACGTTTTAGTTTGTGTGGTTGCCCTTTATTATAGCCAATGCCAAGACCGTAACTGACTAATATAAGAAAACAGGCTTAGTTGTGTCTCAAAAGTGCCTACATGTTTTACATAACACCGACAAAGAAAACAGATTCAATGACAATAACGACAAAAATGTGTTCCTTGTAAAGAAAGACTAATTAAAAAATATATACCATAGCCTACCTCTGGCCTTCAGTCGATTCTTTTAAGATGAATATGCTTTATTCTTTTCCGTTGCTTTCTTTTCTTTCCTTTTTAGAAACAATTTATGATTTTCTTAGTCGCCTAATATGACTGACCTGTAAACATCCAACGGTGACTAATATAAGAAAACAGGCTTAGTTGTGTCTCAAAAGTGCCTACATGTTTTACATAACACCGACAAAGAAAACAGATTCAATGACAATAACGACAAAAATGTGTTCCTTGTAAAGAAAGACTTATTAAAAAATATATACCATAGCCTACCTCTGGCCTTCAGTCGATTCTTTTAAGATGAATATGCTTTATTCTTTTCCGTTGCTTTCTTTTCTTTCCTTTTTAGAAACAATTTATGATTTTCTTAGTCGCCTAATATGACTGACCTGTAAACATCCAACGGTTTTTTTTTTAAATCGCGTTGGCGGGAGCTCGAGAGCCGCCACACTGGCGCGAGACAGGAAAAAGGCTGCGGATGGAGCGAAGCAGACATGATGAGCGCGAGCAGAGAAATCTGAAATTACCTTTTTGAAATTTTCCACAAAATATAATGAAACTTGTATGAACATACTTTCACAACAGGAGGGGGGGGAAAAGAGCACTTCTTCAGCCTACATAAAAAGACCAAACCTATTCGTATAGATCACTGAAGAACATGTCAACATTTGCACATATAGGCTACTGAAGTTTTTTTTTTTTTCGAGTTTAAAGTACAACAATGAAAGAAAAAAACGAAATCGAATATATAATCAAAGAAAACAGGCCTACGATATATTTCCAGGAACTGGGTACCAGCCGACATACCATCTGGGGGCACGTAACAAATGAAAAATCAAAATACGGTGGTAAAATATTTTTAAAACAATATTTATGTGCCCCTTGTGCATCCTCTCCATATTTTATCTATAAACCTAATTTAATAACTGATTTCTGTAGCTTTCAGTGCAATGCCAAATCGTGTTGAATTCAAGGCAGCATGTG